CATAGTACGCAGGACTCATAGAGCTAGATCCATCTTTGCTTCCAGTTGGAAGAAGCATAAGAGTTGGGGCAGCTTCCTCGGACTGCATAGAAACTGGATACAGGTACGTTTGATTGGGTGTCTCCTGAGCGGATGCAGACGCATTGGTTGGTGAAACCATGTACTTAATGCCAAAAGGAGGGTAGTTTATCGAGTTACTAGCGTTCAAACTCTGAAGTGCTGTTGTCGTCGAGGAATTTGGCTCCTGCGTTGCCCAGATTGAATTGGACACGTCAGGTATTGCCCCTGAAAAAGAGGCGGTGCCACGTCTTCCATCCTTTGCTTCAAGTTGTGTGGCAAGCAACAAGCCATTTGCTGCTGCCACGTTGCTTTCAAGCGTCTGTCCCTGTTCTTGCCGTTGCTGTTGTTGTTGTTGTGGACATGGGGCACTTGGCGGCATACAAAAGCCGGCAAAAACATTCGTGGCTCCGGGCCCCGCCGCAGTAAACGGAGCCGCGGGAAGTAAAAATCCCGAACCCGCGGGCTGTTGCTGCTGCTGCTGCTGCTGCGGGCCGTGATGTTGATGCTCAGGCCGTTGCTGCGTGTAGAATAGATTGGCGTTCATAATCGTAAAAGGTCCTGCACGCTGGGAAAAGAAAAAAGTACTCTACGCTCTTTCTTTCTTTCCCACAAACACAGACACACACAATCGCTCAGCTAAATTTTATCCCTCAGCAACCGACTTGATCCTTAGACCGATGTATTTCCCCCTCGCCTCCTCAACTCACGCTGCACGTCAAAAAAAAAAAAAAAAGTTTGAGTCAAATTCAAAGACGTCCCCTCCGATGCACGTAGATGGTGACTTCCCTCTTTTTCCTCCTTCTGCTCGGCTGTAATGTGCACTGGCGACAAATAAAAATAAAAAAAGTCGGCGGCGCTGCTGTTTTAGGTTTTTTTTTTTTTTTGTTGTTTGTGACGGTGATGGTTTGCGGTGTGCTGCTCGCAGTACGCCACAATCCCTCCCGTGGAAAATGATTGGGTCAATGAAAGGAAGGCAATCCAACAAGCAGCCCAACCGAACGGCACCGGTAAAGGGCGGCAAAGGCAGATCGACGAATGAAGTAAAACCACGAAGGCGCAGAAGGTTCAAGACAAACACAGACGCACACACAGACAGAAAAGCACAACAGAGATGGTGAAATAAATGAGAGACAGACGGAAAATGTAGAAAAAAAAATCAACAAAAACAAAAACAAAAACAAAAAAAAGAGGATGAAATAAAGAACAAAATAATCTTCCGATACTTATGTGTCTTCTACCCTTTTGCTTCTTGTTTCCTTTAAAGGACTTTTTTGTGTTACTTATGGGCTTATGCTTACAGTGGCAGGTCCTTTGTGTGCTTTTTTCCTTGTAAAAATATGGATCGGACAGCTAAAAACCGTGCCACCAATGACGTGAGTGAACACGGCGTCAAAAGACAAAGAAACTACAAGGGAAAAAGAAGAAAAGAAAAGAAGGAAAAAAAATCGGATAATTAAAACACCACCACCACCAGCAGCAGACGAAGAAGAGTGCGGTTCAAAGCCGCCCTCTCGCCAAAAACAACAAACAGGAATGGACACATCCGCACTCATTCAACAAACAACAAAAAAGTTGGGAAGAACGGGGAAAGCACCAGCGACGGGAGAAAAAACCCGGCCAAAGGCACTGCAATCCACGCATCATGCGTCTCCTCTGGCAAATCCATCTCCCCATAATTCGAACACCACACGTTATTTCACGCAGCGCTCTCTTCCGACTTCTAAAAGAAGCGCTTCGGCCTAAATCCAGCGGTATCAATATCTTGTTTGCACAGAAATCTGGATTTGCGTTTCCATCAAAATCCCTTTT